AGCTATTTCCCTTCTGGAAAGAGTTACAGACACCCAAGTACAGTGGTGCATGTACACTCATGTTTATAGCAGCACAGCTCTGCATGTCCAGAGACTATATTCCTAGCCCCACTGCCACCCCACGGCCGTGGGTGCTGTCGGCCTGCAGACCACACTTCTAAGTGGGGAGGCGGTCGCATCTCTTAAGCTGGCCTGGTTTGAAGCCTGGCTGTGAAACCCAGGCAAGTCACTCTGTGACTCAGTTGTCTCCTCTGTAAAATGGAGAACGCAGTGACCCTTCTTGCCTATGACTGGGGAGACTGAGTGGGCGAATATACAGAAAGCATGTAGAGCGGCACGTAGTAACAAAAGCAAGTACTCAAAAAATGTTGGCAAACATGGAAGCAGCAGGAAAGCTACAGAAGTGAAAGTGAAACCACCTCCCATTGCACAGGGAGGAGCCTGGCAAGTGTCCGGAAATCTGCCTTATTTATTTATTTATTTATTTAGACAGGGTCTGGCTCTGTAGTTCAGGCTGGCCTTGAACTCACTATGTAACTCAAGCTGGCTCAAACTGACAGCCGTCCTGCCTCAGCCTCCCAAGTGCTGGGTTTGCAGGCATGCAGTCTGGCGATTTCAAGGGCTGGGAAGACCAGGCCTCTTGTGCACTGCTGATAGGTGTACAGACTTAAGCACTTGGATGTCTGAGAAAGCTGGAGATGCCCCTGCAGGGTGAGCCTAGAATTCTAGATCTGTGTGCAACCTTTGCACACAGGACAAATGAGTACATTAAGATGATATTTCTGTTTTGTTCCTCACTTTTTTATTAGTACGTGTTTGCAGAACATGATGAGGACAGGCATCGTGGGGAATTGGTACATATGTATATATCACATCTTTTTTCTCTTTATTTTTTTTTTTACATAAGGCAATTTAATCCTTTTTCTTTCCCCTTTCCCCTCCTCTCTCTCCCTCTACTAGATCCCCTTTCCATCTATGAAAGGTCTACTTCCCTGTATCCTATCATCTTTTATTTTGCTCTTTAAATTATTTACACTTTGGGTTTCTTGTATAAGAGAAGCCATGTGATAGTTAATCTTCTGTGTCTGATTTATGTCACTTAGCATTATGGTCTCAAGGAGCATCCATTTTCCTACAGATGACTCAAATTTATCCTTCTTTGTGGCCAAGTAGTATTTCACTGTGTATATACACATTTTGTAATCCATTCATCTGTTGCTGTTGATGGACATATAGGTATATAGCTATTGTGAAGTGTGCTGCTATAACATGAGTATGCATGCTTTACTGTTTAATATGATGCATTTAACTTTCGGGGGAAGATATCCAGAAGGGAAATAGCTGGATCAAATGGATCCAGTATTAGTATTAGTTTTTTTGAGACTTCTTCATGCTGATTTCCATTGTGGTTATACCAGGTTACATTCCCACCAACAGCGTAGAGGCACCCCACTCCCCACCCCTGCAAGCTCACCAGCATTTTGGGGGGTGGGGTACTGAGAACAGAAATGAGGACCTCACCCTTACCGGGCAGGCGCTGGGCCGCTGAGCTAGCAGCCCGCATTTGTTGTTGTTTTTTCAGTGTGTGATGATGGTCATCCTTTCTGGAATAAGATAGAATCTCTGCTGTTTTGATCTCTCTCTCTCTCTCTCTCTCTCTCTCTCTCTCTCTCTCTCTCTCTCTCTCTCTCTCTCTCTCTCCCTCCCTCTCCCTTTCTCTCTCTCTCTCTTTCTCTTTCTCTCTGTGTCTTTCTCTCTCCCCTCTCTCTGCTTTGCACTTCTCTAGGGGCCAATTTTTTAAAATCAGATTTTATTGGTACATTTTAGATATACATGATGATCGCTTTCATCGTAGAGAATTTGCAACTGTACATGATACAACTGGGTTTATTTTCCCATTCCCCTACCCCTGCTTCAACCCCTCCTCCCCTCCCCAATTACAAAGCTTTGTTTCCACGTTTTCCTTCTTTTCTCATTTTTTTTTTTTTTTACTTTCCCCTTCTTCCCTCCCCATCTGAACATTTTCCTCCTATTTCACAATACCTATTATACACTTTGGTCCTTATTTACACTTTCGGTTTCTCACACCAGAGAGACAATGTGATATTTACACATGTGTCCAATTTGTTTCATTTAAGAATATGGACTCAATATGCATCCATTTTCCTAGTCTGCAGTCTAGTGGCCAAATTTGCTGAATATTTCTTTATGTATTTATTGGCCGTTGGTACTTCTGAAAGTGTCTATTCATTTCATTTTCCCATTTTTTGATTGGATCTTTTATTTTGGAGGAATCTGATTTTTTTGAGTTCTTCGTATATTCTAGATATTAGTCCTCTGTCCAACAAGTAGCTGGCAAATTTTTTTTCCCACTCTGTATGTTGTCTCTTCATTCTGTTGATCATTTTCTTTGCTGTGCAGAGGTTTTTAACTTGATATGATCCCATTTGTTGACTCTGGTGTTATTTCTTGTGCAACTGGGGTTGTTTCAGGAAGTCCTTGCTTATATCCACATCTCAAGAGTTTTGCCTATTTTTAGCCGGCTATAGTGGCACACACCTGTAATCCCAGCACTCGGGAGGCTGAGGCAGGAGTGCCATGAATTCGAGGCCCACCTGGGATATATAATGAGTTCAAAGCCAGCCTAAATTTCATAGCAAAACCCTGTCTCAAAAAAAAAAAAAAAAAAACACCCCAGATTTTACCTATTTTATTTTCCAGCAGGTTAAATGTTTCTGTTTTAACATTTAGATCTTAGATTTTAGTACATGGTGAGAGATATGGGTCTAGACTCAATCTTCTGCGTGTGGCGAGCCAGTTCTGCCAGCACCATTTATTAGAGAGGCTCTCTTTCCTCCAGCGTGTGTTTCTGGCTCCTTTGTCAAGATCAGACAGCTGATGTGGCTGGAGTCGTTTCTGCCTCCTCTGCCCTGTTCCGCTGACCCTCATGTCTGTTTCTGTGCCGTGTACCTTCGTGTGTTTTTCTTGTTGTTACTCAGCGCTGGAGCACTTGCCTCACGTGTACAAGACCCTGACTTCGATCCCTTGCACCGAAGAAAGGAAAGAGAGAAAGCGAAGAGAACAGCTGCCTGAGGCCACAGTCCCATGGTTCCCTGCACGCGTACACACACAAACACTGGCCTGGGAGGCCGACGCGGCATATTCCCTCAGGAGGCTCTGAAGGAGGAGGGGAGTAATGTGAGAGGGAAAAAAGAAGCCTTACATTTTGTCATATTTAATCGAAAAAAATCTGAAGCAAAGATGGTGAAAATTTACCGCTTGTTAACTCTAGCTGCTGGCCACGCGAGCATTTGTGATATCACCCGCCTCGATTTTATGTACTCCTCTTAAGTTCTTGAAATTTGTTTTGGGGCAGGGTCTGGGAAAGTGAAGACAGAGAGCTTGGCTTGGTGCTGGGTGAGGAGCGGGGCACAGAAATCCACCTGCTGGGGACAACTTGCCTCGGGAACGAGTGGCAAGGACGGTTAGGGGTAGGTGGGAAAGCCGAAGCTCAGAGAGGTGAAGCGGCTTCTCTGAGATCACACAGCTAGTGGTGAGGCCACATGGACCATCGGCTCCCAAGTTGTGCTCTTTTTTTGGTACCAGGAATCGAACTCAGGACCTTGCACTTGCCAGGCAGGCGCTTGTGCCGCTGAGCTATATCCCTGGCCCCTAAGCTGTGCTCTTGCCAGAAGTTAACCAACCCAGCGAAGCCTGGCAGGGTGGAGCTGAAGGATGCACAGTGCGGCCCCAGCCCTTGCTTCTCTGCAGTCCAGCCGCCTCAGGGCCGCCTCACCCTAGGACAAGAGCAGGAGCAGAAGGCCTTGGAGCGAGTCCCACCCGACCAGGAAGATGGGGCAGGAGCAGAGCGCGTGTCAGCGGTGCCCCAAGGAGCAAAGCGGGGCACTAGGGCTGGAGGGAGAAGGTGAAGCCACCGAGGCACTGATGCTGCCCTGCCACGCCCCCGAGGCTACCTGCTGCCCAGGCAGGAGTGCGTGCTGGGCCAGGGCGCCTTAGTTCTCCCTTCTGTGAAACGAGGCCATCACTACCTGGGAGCTGAGGCAGGAGGATTAGGAAGTGGAGGCAAAGGGACAGCCGGGATAACTTAGCAAGATCCTGTCCAAAAGAAGAAAAAGAAAAAAGAAAACCAAAAAACAAGGCCCTAGGCTTCGCCGAGGGCCTGGCAGCTCTGTGTCTGTTGTTTTCAGTGCCCCTCCAGCCCTCGCTACCTGAAGCTGCCGCTGGAGCTCTCTACCTGCTGCCCACCGTGCTTGTCTCTGTTTTTGTTGTTGTTTGTTTGTTTGTTTCTTGAGACAGGGTCTCATATGTAGTGCAGGCTGCTTTTGAACTCACTATGTAGCCCAGGCTGGCCTCAGACTTGGAGCAATCCTCCTGCCTCAGCCTCCCAAGTGCTAGGATTCCAGGCATTAACCACCATGGCACAGCTGAGAGCTTGGCAGGGCGCAGAGTGGACTGCGGACCCTAACACCAGGAAGCTGCCAAAGGCTCGCAGCCCTCGGGGAAGGGGAAGTCAGAGCCCAGTGGTCCCAAGGGTCAGGCAAGGTGGTGATAAACCAGCTCATACCCAAAGGTGAAACGTGCGTCAGCTCCACAGGGCTTGAAATCTCAGCTCTGCCATTACTCACGGTGTGGCTTCGGGCAAGTTACTTAACCTCTCTGAGCCCATTTCCTCCTCTGTCAGATGAGGAATCTTACCCGTTCCATAGTGTTATCCTGATGATCAAGTGAGGATAGTGTGAGGGAGCTGGGGTAGGGCCTGGAGCATAACAGCTGCTTAGGAAATAACAGCTGCGGCCCTTTCACCCAGCCTCTCCCCCCAAGGGTCAGGGCCTTGCATTTTCTCCCTCTCCGAATGCCTTGCTCATCGGCTGTACAGTAGCGGTAAGGATTCCAAGCCTGCAGTGTCACTCCAGAGCAGTGACGGGCCTAGCCTGGGCGGGTGCCCTGCCCCTGCCCTGCCAGGGAGGGTGCGGGGCGGGGCCAGGCCTGTGCGTCCTCTCCAGGCTCCCTGGAGACCCAGAGGGAGCTTGGCTCAGCTGGCCACACCAGCCCGGCGGAGACATGAACAAGATCTTGCCCCAGGTGAGAGACCCTAGGATGAGAGGATGCTCAGCCTGGCTTGCCTGACTGCCGGGGGCATCCTGCTCAGGTGGGCCACGCAGAGAGGCTGGGCCAGGGGAGCCATGTGGGGTGAAGCTGCTGAGCTGGGGTGCAGGGTGAGAAGAGGGCACAGGTGCCAGCGCAGAGGGGGAGCGGGCAGGCTGAGCCAGGGTGGGCAGTGTGTGAGAGCCAGAGGCCCCGTCTTGGGCTCTCGGTGACTGCTGACAAAGCCCATGGTCTCCCTCCTGAGGCTTGGGGCTCCCTCTCCTAAGCATGCCTGGCTCTGTTTTCCTGGGCAGGGACGAGCCAACGGCCATGCTGCTGCTGCTGCTGGAACCAAAGCCCGGCCCGAAAGAGAAGGTAAAGGGTGCAGGGCCCACGCCTGTGGGCTCCATGCCTGGGGTGCTGCCACGGAGCCAGGCATTTGGCTCCAAAGGCACAAAGAGGGCCCAAGACTTGTGCTGTCACTCTGCCCCTCACCCCCCACGTTTATGCTGTCAGCTCCCTGCTCCCAGCCTGGCCGTGCTGGCAGCCATTCACTTAATGGAACTGTTCCTTCTCTCCATGCATGTGCATTTATTGAGCACCTACTGTGTGCTCGGCATCTTCCAGGTGCTGTACTTCACGCAGAGCCCACCTGTAAGGTCAAATAATGCCCGAGTCTCATCCTGGACTCGGCGAGTGAGCCGGTGATTCTCTCTACCTCGGAGGGACACAGTGTGCCAGGATCACGCAGTTATGTGGTATCTATTCTGTGCACTGGCTCGCTGCGTGATGAACAGGCGCTTCAGCTGTATGAGGTAAAGGAAGGAGAATCGCACACTTAGCGCCTCCCGTGTGCCCTATCTTGGTCCCCATTTGATTCAGTGAGGAAACAGAAGCAGGTGACTGTCGCAGTGTGGCGGCTCCGTCCCTGGGAGGTGCTGGCATCCCACATCTCTTTCAAACCTCAGGGCCCCTCTGAGGCCCGGGCACTGTGACTGGGCAATAGCGTATAGAGGCAGCAGGCCGGGCAAGCAGGTCAGGGTCCCGCGGTTGGCGGCGAAGGCAGGGTGCAGCTTGACCTGAAGCCTCTGATTGCAAAGCCTTCACTGCTACACATCGGTGCTTGTTTATGCCCAGGTCCTGGCTTATGGTGGACACAGCTGTGGAACCCATAGCTTTTGCATCTGTTCAGGGAGGAGCGGCTTTGAGGGGGGGCATCTTCACCTAGGCACGAGCCTCCCTTCTGCCAGTCTTTCAAGTCTCCCGGTGACACCACCTTGAGTCCCCCTGGTGACGCAATCCGTGCTGTACACTCGTTTGGGGAGCAGCTCCCTGGGTGACCAGGACGCCTCTCCTCGCCGGCTTCCTGCTATCTTCCTGGTTACTTGTAGTTGCCAGAGGCAAGAGAGCCACCAGCCAGGCACAGGGATCACTGGTGTAGGTTTACACTGCCTCGGCCAGTGCACCCACGCGCCACTCCTCCTTTGCCTCTGCCTGGCGTGCCTGGCCCAGCAGTGTCCCCTCCTGCCTGCTCAAGTGACCACTGGCTCCAGAGGCCCCGCATTGAGTTCCTGAAGTGCTGAGCCTGGTACGTGCCTGGCAAGGGCTCTGCCCTGCACCACACTCCAGCCCTTCCTGCCACTCCCAACACCTGACACCGAGCAGGTGCAGGAGTGCCCGGTGGGTGGCTGTGGAAACAAATGGATTGACCACAAAGGACCCAAACTGAGGGCCACCTCTGCCTCCTGACTCTCAGGGGCAAGTGCGGTCAAAGTGTTCATTAAGCGCCTACCTCATGCTGGCTCTGAGCTGCTGACCTGAGCCGGGAGCAGGCCTGCGGGTCATAGGATGAGCCAGACCGGCTCCTGTCCCTTCCTCTTGGCACAGGGCCTGCCTAGGACAACCACACTCCACCTCTCCTTCCTGGGTGTCCACAGCCTGTCTCCTAGGTGCAGCTGTGGGCTCTCAGAGGGCAAGGCCATCTACGTCACACACAGCTCCTTCTGTGCCCACTTGAGAGCAATGCACCCTGAGGACTCTCAACAGAGCTTTCTTCCAAAGCACAGTTCTATCTCAGAGTGCAGGGTCACCTTGCACTGCTAACCCCGCTGGGCTAGAATAGAGCCTGGCACATAGCAGGCACTCAATAAATATGAAGAGGGCTGGGGTGTCACTCAATGGTAGACACTTCCCTGGCAGGTGCAGGGTGCTGGGTTCCATCTCCCATGCTGCAAATAATATTAACAATAATAATAATAAACTGAAAAATAAACTCTAACAGTGGCTTGCATCTAGCACTGATTGCATGCAAATCCTGGTCCAGTACACTAATTCAAAAAAATTAATTCTGCAATGGCAAGCAGAAACTCCAAAACAACACCCAGGATTTGGAGGCGGATTTATTGACGTTGATGGGCACCGATCTGGATCATTCCCAGAATATCCAACCCTGATCTCTGGTGGTCTAGGGCTTTTATATGATGCACAAGCAGGAGGTACAAAGGAGGTACCAAGGTGAGACCGAACAGCCTGGAAGTTCTTCTGATTAGCCAGCAGGGTGAGATCATCAGTTACAAGGGTAGATTAATGAACATCATGAAGTTCATGAAGCTGGGTACAATGGTACAATCAGGCATCCTGCATGTTTGGTTATGCTCTCGTGGTTACCAGGGTCAAGAAAGTAATTACAAAGCCATGAAGCAGTTACAGAGCTAGGCAGTTTCAAAAGAACAGAGTTTTAAAAGGAGCAATTTCTCTTGTACAGTTTTTCCCCTTTCCCTTCCAGTAAATTCTAAAATAGCTATTGTGCGCCCATGTTCCACATGGGGAAACTGAGACACAGAAAGGTGAAGTGATGTACCCTGTGGCCTGGGTAGGAAGTGGTAGAACTGGGATTCTAACCAGCATCCTGCTGGGCTCCAGAGCAGACAGCTGGGCTCGTGGAAAGGGCACGGTCATGACGTCACGCTGGTATGGACTCATGTGCACAGGTGGACCTAGACCTTTGCTTCTCTGAGCCCTAGTTTCTTCATTGCTAAAGTGCAGCTTTGAAAGAGACAGGAATGAGGCTTACACAGGGCCTGGCAGCAGCTGGGTATACAGGTGTCCATCTTTCCCTCTGTCCCAAGGAGGTCACCTGGCGAGGCTGAGGGGCAGAGCCTGCCAGGGTGGCAGCTGGTGGCATGGGATGCACAGGCAGAGCTGCAGAGCATCATGGGGCATGGAAGTCCTCCCACCCCCCAGCAGCCCTCCCTGCCCTCACGCCTTGGTGCCAGAGGGCTGCTGGCAGGGGCAAGAGCCAGGAGGAACATGGCCTGGTGCTGGCACCAACACCACCTTTCCTGCCCCTCACAGGAGGCCGTGGTCCCTGCTGCTCACGACGGGGAGCCTGCCTGTCCGCCCTCCTGCTGCTCCTGCTGGCCACGCTTGCTGCCCTTGTCATCCTGGTCACCAGCCTCGGACTCCCGTCCCGAACGCCAGGTGGGGAGAGGGTGGTCAGACCTGCTGGGCACAGCCTGAGGTTGCAAGGCCACGGGAGCCCTGACTGCCTGGCTTCTCCAGCAATCCATTTTTGGCCAGTGCCTTCTGAGGCAGACACAAACCCACGCATCCTGTGCCCGCACACGGATGCCCATGGTCCAGCCGGAGCCCCCAAGTCCAGCATATCTGCGTTCCTGCGAGGGTCCAGCTCCCACTGCACCTCCTCCTGGAAGCCTTCCCTGACTGCAGGCTGGGTTGCGAGCCTTGTCTCAGCCCTCACAGCCCCACACTTCTCTTACCCTGGCCCAGCCGCCCCCAGCGCCCTCTCCCTCTGTGTGTGTCTGCCACAAAGACTGGGCCGTGTCCCGCACCTCCCTGCAGCCCTGGCCTCAGGGGTGAACTCCCTCCACGGTCCCCGCCCTTGGGAAGGTTTCAGAGAGCCTCGAGGACATGAATCCATCGAGCCCGCCAGGGCAGGACCCAAGCGCTGGAAGTCAGGAACAGGGGCTCTGGCCAATGTGAGAGGCAGAGTGGGCACCTGGGGGAGGTGAACGGGGCCCAAGTGAACAGGGAAGTGGAGACGCTTGGCAGAGAGTCAGGAAGGGCAGGGGGCACGGGGAACAGCGTGTGCTGGAGGAGGCAGGCGGAGACTGCAAGGCGTGGGTAGAAAGGGCTGACGCATGCGTGGGGCCAGGTGCGCAGGCCCCATGGGGTCCCGATGCAGGGGCCATGGGAAGGGGACAGAGCGGGAGGTGCTGTCTCCAGATCTGCTTCCTGAGAGTTGCCGCTGTAGCTAGACGGCCGGGGCAGTAAGGGGGTGAGGAGAAGCAGTGGGGTAAATTCACAGGAACGGGGGCACAGCAGAGCTGTGGATCCACAGGAAGTGTGGACGCGTGCCTGAGTGTGATGTGTGCGTCCACACCTATGCCAGTGTGTTTGCAGGTATCCATATGTGTGTGTACATGTGAGTCTGTGTATGCAGGTGAGCACACGCCTGTATATGTTGGTGACGGTATGAGCGTCCCTGTGAGCTGGCCCCCCTCACACCAACCATGGTACCTCCAGGAATCGAGACGTGGCTCACACACGCATGATGCACATGGACAGACCTGCTGCCGCCGTGGTTATCACACACACACGCGCGCGCGCAGTCTGCTTGGCTGGGGAGACCACGGCTCAGCCGCCAGTCTCTCTGCCGTGACTCTCCGGGGCCGCCCCAGGGGTGGGTGGCCTGCCCCTCCCCTAGTGGGAGGCTCATGGTGACACTTTGCAGGGCTGTTGGGGAGACAACAGTTTAAACATGCAAAGGTGCTTTGCAGCCTGTGGTGCCCGGATGTAAGGGACTGTGACCTACCAGCCCCCAGACAGCCCAGATATATCGCATCTGACAAGCTTACAGGGTACCAGGGTGCCCACCAGTAAAGGCACTTTGCCAAGCAGAACACTGCTCTCAGAGCAGCCTGTGGGATGGCGGATAAGTTGTCAGGAAAGGCGAGAACCATGCCTTCTCTACGTGTATCCTCAGAGATGTATTTATTTAAACCCCACACACCCACAGTGTGCTATGGATCCATTTTACAGATAGAGAAGGCAGCTCCTCTGCCCAAACTCGCAGACGGTTACGCTGAACCTGGACATCAATGCCACTGAGTCCCAGAGCCTCCCCGGGCCTAGCTCCGGGTGGCCCTCAGGGCCTGCCCCTGCCCGGCTAGGTGCTTCTTTGACCTTTACGGCCTCCTCCTGTCCACTCAGGGGCCCAGGCCTGTGTGACACCGACCAACAGGACAGGCTTCCTGTGCCGTGACAGGAGGAGCTGCATCCCCGCCAGTGGGGTGTGTGATGGCCGTCGCACTTGTCCGCACGGCGAGGACGAGGACGAGAGCTTATGCCGTGAGTGTCTGTTCAGTGGGGCCCGGCTCTGGCTGGGGCCCCCGGGGCAGCTCCTGCTTCAGTTCCCCTGCAGCACCAGATTTGAGGGTGTGGCGCCTGCATCCAGGACGGTCACACGTGGCCGCCTTCACAGTAGGTGTCCTTCACCCAAGAGCCTGTCTGCACCCTCCAGCGGAGTTCAAGGGCTGCTCCTTCAGGAAGCCGCCCTGACTCCTGGCCAAGTTGAGGACCCTCCCTGGGGTTCCCCCAGCCCCTGCTCCTCCCTGTGGGCCAGCCTTGGGCATACTGGTGTCGCATCTGCCACTCTGTCACCCTGTGGACGCCTCTGGGCAGGTCTAGTCTGCTTGCCCTTGGGGCCCGGTGCTTGGCGTGACTTGCTGAGTGAATGAGCAGATGAATAAGTGGGGAGACCTGGCCGTTCTCAGGGAGCTCACAGCCGGCCTCGTGGGGTCAATAGAAGCAGGAGTCAGTGTGGACCCTCAGCAGGCATGGTGGGGACGCCTCTCCCTTCCGCTCGACCTCCTCCCAGGAGCCCCTCGAGCCTTCCCGGGATGGGAGGGAGGTGACCCTGAGTCTGGCAGCTCTAGATGGCCCCGAGGCAGCTGCAGCTGAATGTAGACTCTTCTGGCCCGGCCTGGCTCCGCAGGAGACGTGCCCCGGAGCCTCCCCAGCTTCCTCGTGGCCCGCTGCGGAGACCCGGCCTCCTGGATCTACTCTGACCAAAAGTGCGACGGGACCAACAACTGCGGGGACTGCTCGGATGAACTGAGCCCAGGTGGGGTCGCCGCACTGGCTGGGCAGGAGCAGGAGGCCAGGCTGCAGCCAGAGGGCAGATGCGGGCCAGAGAACCTCCACGTTCCCCTGCTGCATGCCTTCTGCACTCCTGCTTGAATACCTCCAGGGTGGGGTGCTCACTACCACTCCAGCAGCTCTCCCTGGAGGTTCGTTCTCCATATGGAGAACTTCCCTCCGAGGATGGTCATGCAAGGGGTGCTGGCATGGGGTCTGGACCTGGGTCTGGACCTGGGTCACCCTCACCGCCTCCCACCAGCCCTGCAGGGAAGGTAGGGAAGGGGTCACAGACCCCATTTGCATATAGGGAAACCAGAGCTCTGAGAGCAGAAGGGACAACCTGAGGCAGCAGGAAGGGAACCTGGGTGTGTACCACCTCTGAGGGCCTTCTCTAGACTCCTTTAAATCTCTTCCCCAGGATTCAATCAACAAACGTGCTCTAAGCACTGTTGGGCCAGGGCCCGCTGCCACAGGGATAGGGGACAATCCGGGTCGGGCACAAAAGAATGCACAAAAGGGAGTGCTAGGGCTCCAGAGCGATCGAGGCAGACTTCTCAGAAGAGGCAGCCTTGGAGCAGGCCTCAGGGAATAGACAGGGCTCACAAGCCTGGGGGGTGGTGTGAGGAGGCCAGCGACGGGTGGGAGGGAAGTCCGAGGGGCACAGGGCAGGGGGAGGCTGGGGGTGGGTGAGGGAGGAGGAGGTGGGGGAGAAGAGCTGCTCCCACTAGTATCTGGGCACTGCCTGTCCTCTATCGCTCTGAGCAGAGGCTCAGACAGGACGAGCGAGGTCAACTGCCTAGGAGTTGTAAAGCCCGGCTTCTCTCGGCCACCAGAAAACCAGGAATGTGGCCAACCCGGGTCAGCTGGGGTGGGACTAGGGAGCTGGGGCAGGCCGCAGATCTGGGCAGGCCCCAGGGTACAGGGCGTTCCGGAACACAGCAGCCACCCTCCTGCCGGCTCTTGTCTCCCCAGTGACCGCGTGCCCGCCCTGCGGCCCTGGGTGGTGGCACTGCCCTTCCACCTTCTTCATGTACTGCGGCTGTGTCCCGAGGACCCTGTGCCAGGACGGCACGCAGCACTGCTCAGACTGGTCCGATGAGTACTCCTGTCCACAACCCTGAAGGGCGTCCACGCCAGCCAGAGGCTGCTGGGGATGGCGCTGATGACTGCTCATGCACAGCCTGAACCCTGGGCCGCCAGGCCAGGAAGGCGCTTTCAAAATCATCGCATGGAGTGTGGGGTGTAGCTCGATGGTAAAGCACTTGCCTAGCACGCCCGAGGCCCTGGCTCCCGTCCCAGCGCTGCAGAACAAAGCAAAGCACAGTGGGCTCGTGGCACCTGCACGTCACCTATAACTCGGAATCGCCTCTCCTACTTCCCAGTGCCTCAGCCTCTCCCCGAATGCCTGTATCGACAGGGAGTTAGCTCTCTGTCAGGTCCGGCACCTTCAAACAAAGATGAGAATCTGCTTCTGTGGTTTTAGCTCTGTCAGGGCCCACACAGAGGAAATGGGCACCTCTGCTCCAAGACAGGTTTGCAGCTTCTGATCTTGTCACTCCCTGGAAAGATCAGTCTGGGCCCTTGCTGCCGAGCTGAGGAGTTTGGCCGTCCTCCAGGATGGCGCAGAAGTGAAGCACATGCCACTTCCTGCCCTGCTGGTACCTAAGGCAGAGGGCGCTGGGCCTTCCTTGCTGACTGGTCACGTGAGATTCCACGGGAGGAAGTGCGCTTGTCATCCTGCCAGCAGGAAGCGCCCCAGAGACTTGCCTGTGGAACAGAAGATGTGCGGGGAGGATGGCTGCAGGACCCCTCACCACTCTGTCCTCTCCGCCAAGCTCCCCTCCCCCCACCCCAGCTGCCAGCCAGACAGCCTTGGCTCCCAAAGAAAGGACCGGAGCCACAGTGAGCTGCTTCTCAGCCTCTTCCCACTTCACACACCCAGGCAGGCACGGACAGATGTCTCCCCTAAACAGGCGGGGAAACTGAGGCGCAGGGTGAGCGACCCAGCCAGGGTCTCACAGCAAAGTCAGGGCTAGAACCGGGACTGAGACTCATAAGCCACACCCCAGCCCAAAGCCTTTGTCGCTCTCCAGGAGCCCATGCCTGGCTGGGCTCAGAACGTGTCCTGCACTCATTCTGGAGACATGGAGAGAGATGTAGATTCCAGACAAGGGGAGGGCTCCAGTCAGAGGAACAGATCTAACACTATTTTGCTTTTATAGCTCAGTCTCCTGTGAATTTTGAAATGGAAATGGGCGTCAGAGAGAGTGGCGCGCCATGCTTTGCTCATTGCCCCACTCCTTTCTCTGGCACACTCTGCCTACGTGGGCCAAGTTGGGGTGCCGGGCTCCCAAAGATGAGGCCTGGGAATAGAGGCTGCACCTCACGTCATGGAGGGGCAGGTGGGACAGCGGGAAAGGCTGGGCCCCAAGGGGTGCCGCTGCGAGCCAGGCCATCCCATTTCTGACTTGATCATCCAGGGATTACGGAGCGCTCCTAGGTGCTGCCTGAGGAATGAGAACGTGCTCTGGGGCCTTCGGCTGAGTTTCTCTGCGACTGCAGCCTGAGCGGGACCTGCAGAGCCCCGGCCCACCTCGGCTCCCCAGGGTTGTGTTGTGCCTGCTGACCAGGGAGCCTCCCTCCCACAGACTATGGCGGGAGGTGGGGAAAGGGTAACATGGGGAACCCCAGCCCCTCAGGAGGGCACGGGGTATGCAGAGCTCAGCCAGGAAAAGTCCACCAGCCAGAGCGGGCAACGCCCCGGGTGGGGGAATAGGAGAGGAGCAAGAGAGGGGAGCGGATCCTGGAGGGCTCAGCCGGTCACACTGCACTCTGAGGGCAGTGGGGTGTCAGTGGAGCCCTAACCAGAGAAATGCCTGTTTAGAGTCCCTAACACGTCTCCCTGGACAGGCAAGGTAGCCAGCTGGCCTGCACTTAGTCAGGGACAGAGCCAGGCAGCCGGCCTCTGAAGCTGGGTTGGCTGTCCCGAGTTGCCTCATGGTTAGGGGATCTCTGCTTCTTCAGAGAGGAAGGAGTCAAAAGCATGGAGGGCACAGGAGTGGGCACCCTGAAGCTGAGAAGTGGGAGTCCCAGGTGCCCGAGGGTGTGGAACAGCTTGGCTTCCAGGCTGCAGAGAGGGACCTTGCCTGAGGGGCCAAGGTTTTAAGCAGGAGGAGTACACTGATCTGCTTTGGAAAGGGCTGCAAAGAAGGGTGAGGAAGGGTCCTGAGACAGGCTAACTGCTGGGCTTCTGGGAGGACTAGGAGAGATCCAGAAAGAGCAAAGCTCCCTGCAGAAAAAGTGGTGCCCCGTGCTGTGCTGGCAGCTGTCACAAGTATTAGCAGCCAGCGCTTAGGGAGAAGGTCTGATCTCTGGAACCTCGTTTTCTCCAGTCTTCACAAGCACTCCGGAAACCTGGTTTGGTTACTCCACTTTCTAGGGGCACAGAGAGATAAAGGTAGTGGCTAGGATCACACAGCTTTTAAGATGCAGATTCAGGAGCTAAACTTTCATGCACTCAAAATCAGAGCCCACCTGTGCTGTCTCCGCTGTCTCTCTTGCTGTCAGCCAGGGCTCCCCAGGGGCAGCTGAACCCAGGCCAGGGGCTCGGCCTGAGAACAGCTGGTGGCTGGCGTTGGCAGCAGAGCCTGCGTTTGTTCTGCTTTGTCTATCAGTTCTTCCACTCCGAAAGGAACATGTACGGTACTACTCTCCAAGCTGCACTCCATAGGGAGGCCTGGGAGAGGAGGAAGAGCAGGCTCTCCCCTGGAGCGGCAGCAGAGCAGCCTGGGCCAAGCTACGCAGCCAGCATCAATATTTGCCCTCTCCCTGCCTCCCGGGCCCTGGCTCCAAGATCAGGACTTTGAGTACAACAGGTTTTTCTCTGTGCAAACACGCAGGGATAGATGAATGGAATTTAAAGGGGCTCAGGCTGGGCCCCAGGGTCTGCGTTGGAAATCTGGTCTGGTTTAACTGTGTGCCGTTACTGTTTGCCAGGGGCTGTCTCTTATCCTTAGACACACAGCCACAGACATCAGCTCGGGCAGGGCCCTCAGAGCATAGCCTGGCTCTTGACAAAAGAGAATACTGCTTCCCCAGAAGGGAAGGGGACCTGCCCAAAGTGGCACTTCCTGGTGGCTGTCACATAGTCACACAGTGGTCCCCTCTTGTCTGCGGGGTACATACATTCCAGGGCCCCTAGTGGATGGGCAAAGAGCACCAAACCCTGCATGTACTATGTTTTTTCCTAGGATAAAGTTTAATTCATAAATTAGGTACAGTAAAAGATCAACAGCAACAATCAGTAATAAAATAGAACAGTTATAACAACACACTGTAATGAAATTTCCAGCATCACTTCTTTTGTGTTTTGGGGCCATTATTAAGTAAAATAAGGGCACCTGAACCCAAGCACTGCACTAATGCAATAGCCCATGTCTGGCTCATGCCTGTAATCCCAGCACTCAGGAGACTGAGGCAGGAGGATCATTGCAAGTTCGAGACCAGCCTGAGTTAGAGTGAGCTCAAGGCCAGCCTGAACTGCAGAGCGGTCTCAAAGTGACCAAAAAAAAAAAAAAAAAAAAAAAAAAAAAAAAAATAGCCCATGGCCATGAAGAGACCGGTGGCAGGTAGTATAGGTGGGTGGATCTGCTGTAAAAGGCACAACTCACATCCAGGAGATCTTACCACACTACTCAAAATAACACAGTATTTTAAACTTATGAATTGTTTATTTCTAGACTTTTCTATTTCATATTTTCAGAACACAAATAACCACAGGTAACTGAAACTTTAGATAGGAGGAGCATGTATATATGTATGTATGTGTATAAATTATATACATTAAGTACACAATTTTTTCTCAGTACTGGGAGTTAAACTTAGGGCTTTACATATTCTAGGCAACCACTCTGTCACTGAGCCACATCCCAGCCTTTTCTTTTTTTAAATTTTGAGACAGGATCTCTAAGTTGCCCAGGCTGGCCTCAAACTCGCAATCTTCATGCCTCAGCCTCCCAAGTAGCTGGGATTATAGGTATGCGCCACCATATCCACCTGAAATGCACAAATCTTAAGTGAAGTAATTCAATGATGTTTCCTTAAAGCAAGTGTCTTAGTTACTTCCTTGTTGCTGGGACAAAATACCCAACACTCACCAGTGGAAGGAGGAGAGGTTTATTTTGGCTCATTATCTGTAGAGGTTTTAGTCCATAGTCAGCTGGCTCCAAGGCAGGTTGGAATGGCAGAAGAGAAACAGTCCATGGCAGGTCTGGCAGGAAATAGCAGCCTTCCTCCTCCTTTCCCTTTTTTTTTTTTTTTTTTTTTTTTTGGTTTTTTTCTCCGGTACCGGGAACCAAACTCAAGACCTTGCGCTTGCCAGGCAGGCGCTTTTGCCGCTGAGCTAAATCCCCAGCCACCTCCTTTCTCTTTTTATTCCATCCGGGCTACAAGCCTATTGGTTGGTGATACCCAGAACCAGAGCGGGTCTTCTCTCTGCAGTAAATCTATCAGCTGACCCAGACCTATGCTAAACCAATCAGTGGACTAATCCAGTATCCACACCTTGATTCAGTATCACACACCCAGAATCTCGTGTCACACACCTACAATCCAGTCACCTCCCCAAAGCCCCACCTATGGATGCATGAGGCTTTGGGGGGCCACCTAAGTATAAGCCATAACAGCAGTTTCTTTTGAGGTATAACTGACATACAATAAACTATATGAAATTAAAGTATACATTTTCCTTGTCTACTATAAGAAATAAAAAGGAGGAAAGACTTGCAGCAAGGACAGGCTTTACTGAGATAAAGACCTGACAGGGGCTGCTGGCTGCCAAGTGCTGGAAGAGCAGCCCTCTCACAGCGCAAGAGGATGAGAAAGGGGAGCAGAGGAGGAGGAAGCTGGAAACGAACTAGAATTAGGTCATCTAGTCCATGGACATGGTCCACCTTGCATTTACATGTTTCCCTTTTCTTCTGAAACCAAGTGCCTCTTGGTCTAGAATGGTCTGTTCTCTAAGCAGGACTTAGGCCAGGCTGGTTCATTAGGAGTGCTGATATTTTTACAAGGCTGAAACAATGCCAAGAAGCGTCAGAACCCATGGAAAGCCATCTCTCGGGCTTTTCCTTACATCCGCACCATGTTCCATCACGAGTAAGACCAGGAACACGTTGTTCCCCCTCAAAAGCTCCCCAGGGCCCTCTGTGATCCCTCACCCTCAACCCCACACTCTCTGGCCACCGCTGATTTTTTTTCTGTTGGTACAGAATACAGCACTTCGCACTTTCCTGGACTGTGATAGACACGGGGCCATACAGAATGTGCCCTCTCGCCTGGCTTCTTTCACCCAAACAGCTGTTACAAGACTTACCCATGCTGCAAGCATGTCACTATTCATTATTCCCGGTGTCCAGTAACACTGCACTGTGTGGTTTACCGCAATCTGTGGCTGAAGGAACATTCTTCCTCTCGTGCAATGCTGGGGGTTGAACCTGGGGCTTTGGGCATGCGCAGCAAGCGCTGTACTGCTGAACAGCGTCCGGCCCTGAAGAGATGCATTCCTCACTCACTGATGGCCTTCCGGTAAATCCCAGCTTGGGATATTGCAAATAAAGCTGCTGTAATCATTTACACATGAATCTTCATATAGACATATGCTTTCATTTATCCTGAAGCAACAAATAGGAGGGGGATGGCAGATGTGGTAGGTCGATGCCTAACTTTTCGTGAACTCCCCTGTTTCCCAAAGTAGTTGTAGTATAGACAGCTATGTTAGGTAGAAATGTTATAGGCAGTCAGACAAGGAGAGGCCCTCAAAGGAGTCAGAGCAGAAAATAAGAACACATTACAACTGCGACTGGAGGTGCATTGGTTGAAGGCCAGGCCTCAAGATAAAGATGGAATCACTACACCTACATATCTCCCCGAGGGAAAAAGAATAATGATCAATATCCTACATAGGTATTAGCCACTCAGGTGGGGGACCAAGACCTCCCGACCCATCCCTTCCAGGAAAGGTCCTTCTTTCCATGCATACTTGCTACGTGACTCACTTCCCCACTGATCAGTGTTAGCCACACAGCTATACTCACAATAGTTCTGTCCCACCTTATAGCCGCCACCTCGTGATTTTGTACTCACCTCCTGGTTTTGCTCTATAAACTTCCTTTACGTAGTTTGCAGGGAACCCACTTCACAGGTCCCCCTCCTGTCTCTCTCTTAACCTTTATTGTTCCTTAAATTCATTCTTCAGTTTTGGGGAACGTGAACTTGGTGTATCAGACATCTAATAGGTTGGGAGTTATAACATTTCCCTTGTATCATTTGGAAGCCCTGTATCATGCCTATACCAGTTGTATCATTTTCCCACTGTGAGAGCGCAAGAGCTCCTGCTCCACGGCCTCACTGATACGTCGCGGCAGGCTCCTCTGCCTGGTGTGCGGTGGCATCTCTCTGTGCCTCTGCTCTGCACGTTCCCAGTGACTACAGAGCCCCCGGCATCTTCTCATGGGCTGATTCAGCACCCACAGGTCTTCCTTGGTAAAGGATCTACTCAAATCTCTTGTCCATTTTTATTTTTTTTTTGTCTTGTCCATTTTTAATAAAATTGCTTGTTTGTTTGTTTGTCTGTTTTAGTTTTTTTTGAAATAAGGTCTCACCATGTAGCCTAGAACTCATACTGGCCTTGCGCTCACGGGTGATCCTCCTGCCTCAGTCTCCCAAGTGCCTGGATTATAGGTGTGTGCCACCATACCCAGTTACTTTACATATTCTGAATGTGCATCCTTATCAGATGTATGAATTGCAACTATCTCTCCCAGTCTGTCTTCTTATTTTGTAACAATGTCTTTCAAAGAGAAGTTCTTTATTTTGATGAAATCCAATTATCAACTCTTTTCTTTTATGTATCATGCTTTTGTTACTGTATTTAAGAATTGTATGCTCAACCTAAAGTCAAAATATTTTATCCTACATGTTCTCCTAGAAGGTTTCTAGTTTTAGCTTTTATAACTAGGTCTATAATCCATTTTGAGTTATTTTTGTGTAAGATACAAGCAATGGATCACAGCTGTTGTTTAGGGAATCCAATTCTTTTAGCTCTGTTTGCTGAAAAGGCAATCATTTTCTACTGAACTGCCTTTGTACCTTGTAAAATTCAGTTATCCATATGTGTGTCATCCTCTTCTCCTGTTATCTATCTCAGTGCCTAAGCCATACCATCTTCATTCCTGTAGGTTTATAATAAGCCTTGAAGTCATGTAGTGCTAATGCTCCTACCTTGGTCTTTTTCAGCTTTGTTTTGGATATGCTAAGCCCTTTGCATTTCTGTATGAATTTTAGAATCAGCTTTCTAATTTCCATAGAAAATTGCTTCTGGGATTTTGACTGGGATTGCATTGAATCAATTTGGAAAGAAATTTCCCTTTATTTCATTCTCTTTTATTTTGCTCAGCAATTTTTGAGAATTTTCAGTGTTCAGGTTTGCACACGCACTGTCAGATTCATGTACATTTCATACTTTTTGATAGGGAGTTTTTATTATAATTTCCAACTTTTAATTGCTAGTGTATAGAAATACAATGAATTTTGTATATTAATCTTTTATCCTACAACCATGCTAAACTCATTTAGTATATCTAATAGACTTTTTTGTTGATTCTATCAGATTTTCTACATAGATCATCATGCCTTCTATGAAAAGACAGTTTTGTTTTGTTTTTTCATTTTGGTCCAGATGCCTTTTATATTTTTCTTGTCATATTGCACTCGCCATGGACAATGCTGAATAGAAATAGTAAGAATTGACACCCATCTCTGTTCCTGATATCAAGGAGAAAGCAGGCTTTCACCGTTAAATATAATGTTATAGCTGTAGGTTTTCATATACGATCTTTATAAGGAAGAAGATGGCTTTTTTTGGAGAAGTGTGCTTATATTCCTACAAAGCTGAAAGTTTGTATCAGGAAAATTTGTATCAAACTTTGTCAAGTTCTTCTGTACATGTGCAGAGATTATCTGTGTTTTTTTCATTAATATAGTGAATTTCATAAGCCAATTTTTTTTTTTTAAGATTAAAGTTACTTTCCAGGGTATGGCTCTACTTGGCTATAACACATCATTCTTTATATGCATATATTGTTGGATTCTGTTTACTAAAATTTTGTGAAGAATTTTTGCATCTGTGCTCATGAGGGATATCAGCCTACATTTTTCTTTTCTTGTAATGACCTTATCATGTTTTATTTAGGGTCAGAGTAATGCTGACCTAGCAGAATGGGTTGAGAACCATCTCCTCTTAGCATCCTGAAATAGTTTATATAGAATCA